ACTGACGACGAGTGGAGCGAACTAAGGGAGGAGAAGAGAAGGGAAGGAAGAGACGGACAGCCAAACAATCAGACAGCCAGAAAGACAAGAGGCAAAAAAAGAAGAGGGGAAACGTGGGGCCGTGTTGCGATACGTCCCGATCATCTGCAGAGTGACAGTTGGAACTTGCGGCCTTGTCCAGCCTGAACCATTTTTCCTGTTGTGTTCAGCTAAAAAATTGTCCTACTAGCTAGGCTACTCCTTAGAGTAACTACTACTAGTCTACTACACAGTAGACTAAATTATTACTCCGTGGTCTTATGCCCCCTCCCTTCCTCTCCCTCCCGCGCGCGCCGGCTAGGGGCAAACACTAGACTAGCCCTCATCATCCTAGTCAAGTGTGTACCTCTTCTTACTATCGACCTTCCTGAATAAGGCAAGGTTGAGGGAAAAAGTCCCTCTTACTCACATCTTTTCTTCTTTTCTCCCTCACTCTAACTAGTTACCTCCTCTTCTGCATGTAAGAAATTTCCACAACTGGTTTGACGAGGGGATGAGTGGGTGGATGCGCACATCAAACACGGCTTGCTTGCCTTTGGCTCTTTGCAGTGCTTCTTCTCTTCTGCTGCTACTGCTGCCATGCCATGCTTGATCGATCTCCCCATTTCAGTTTGCGCCGTTCTTCTCAACCAAGTTTCAAGTGGATAAGAATGTCATTCCATCTCGGCAGGCGCACAAATAGCAATAGTCCTGATGGAGCCTTTGATCCCGTCCTACTGGTAATTTCCACAACGTCCGGTTCAACCCAACTACTCACACCTTTCCCGCTCGGGATAGGGAAGGGGAGGGGGACCCTCCTTTAACCGTGCCCCAGACCCGTTCGGATTCACGGTACTGGGTAATGCACGGATCGAAACCAAAGTTCCAAAGAGAACCAAACCAAACCAAACCAAAATTCGACCACTGGATGTCAAGATTAGACTGACCAAGTACTTAGCTATCTATCTAACGGGAACTATCAACCGAGAGATTGACACGCTGGTTGAAGTCTGAAGGAATCAAGAATTGGGATGGTTTGTTGAATTGACTGATTGACTGATTAATAATGATGAAGATCGGTCGGGAAGCCAGTCCACTCTCTCTGACAGCCAAAACACTACTACTACTGTGGTAGTAGTACTCCGTAAAAGCACGTACCTTAAGTGACTCTCTGGCACCTCGCTCTGAGCCCCATTCCTCTTTGTACTCGGTGCAGCCGTATCCTCGATCCTGCCCGCACACACAGAGTTGTCGGAGTCGGAGTCGGAGTAGTTACGGGGGAACGTTAGTTTAGCAAAAGCGGCAGCTGTTGTGGTTTAAGTCTATCTTCTTGCTACTAGTCAGTAACACTGGGTCCGTTGTAACTCTTAGAGAGAGGCTGTTGATTATTCTATTTCCAGTGCATCTCATTGAGTTTTCACTTTCAAAGGATCTTTACTTCTTTTTCAGAATTTTTCAAAGATGTCGGAATAATCGATTTTTTATTTTTTTAGTCTCATTATATTATTTTCGATGCTCATTTTTTGCTTTTTCTCTTTAGCCTCATTCTCACTTTGAGGCGCCTCCTCCCTTCCCACACATGCCACTCATCACACTGCCCTCCGCACATGATGCATATCCCTGCTCTGGACTAGATATCGTGCGAGCCCCCTTCTGCAGGTTGTGTGACGGACCAGGCGGAGGCTTGTCCAGTAGGGAGGAGTGGAAGGAACACTGGGGCGCGTCCTTCCCGTGGCGGTCAGCCATCCAGCTGTGGACTGCAGCCTTGTCGCCTTAGAGAACCCGAGTACGACCTTAGCCGGCCGTTGTGGTTGGGGAAAAGACTGAGAGTAAGGTTTCTAGGGAAATGAACTGAAGTTGATCGCGGACGGGCCATTTATTAATGAAACTCGTGGACTATATATTATATTATATTATGGGTGAGTGGGTGTGTGTTGATCGTAGAGGGAAGCGTGATTTCTACAGTAGGGCCCAAAAGGGTAGATTAAAATCCTCGATCGATAGATTTTATCCGATCGGAGAAGAGGGGAAAGGGAGGAGTCAGTCAGAAAGAAAGCCTCATCATCTGATGAAAAGCTTCGCGTTGGGGCCATGGAAGTTAGTAGAGGATCGAGGAAAATGCTGGCCAACGCGCCCACGGCTCCTTCCCTCGTACGCACACACACGCACACACGCCCTCACCCACCCCCTTCCCTTCAGTCGGAGCAGCCAAGTTCTACGACGGTTCGGTGCAGATGAACAATTCAGCCTCTTAAACCGTGCCCGCGCGTGGTGACCAATCATGGCCGGCCATGCAGAGAGCCTCAAGAGGTGGAGCTCCCTTTTGGGTCTAGTCGGTCGGGTCGGCCTCGTGGACGTGGCATTATTCTTCCTGCTCGAGAAGTGGTCGGCGAGGGGGGGTGGGAAAAAGGAAAAGGAAAAAAAAAAAGGTGAGCATGCTGAGGGAAACACACACACTCACTCACTCACTCACAACTCTCTCTGTCTCTCCACTCACTACTACACAGACAGACAGACAATCAGACAGACTAGATCAGACAGCTTGCTGCGAGAGACACTCTGAACCCGCCTTTCTTTGCACCCTCTCCCTCATCTCACACATACACAAGACATTCCCCTCTCCGTCCCCTTACCTCTCTCTCCTCACCCTCTTTCGCGGCTTTTTCTCTATTTATCCCGCCCCGGCAAGAAAAGTCTGGATGGCCGTTGAGTGTCTTAACTAGGATTATTGTCGGTAGGTAGAAATTTTGCTTGTTTTGCTCTCCACCCGGGTTGATGGTGTTGTCCCTCCCTCCAGGCTCACCCCACTTTGTTTGCCTGTCTGCACGCTGTGGCGCGCGCGTCTGGAGAGTCAGCTTCATTCATTTCCTCCGTCTTCTTCCGTCGTGTCCTGTGGATTCTTCTTCATTATTCTCTTGTTCCAGTCCCTACGATTTTGTTGCAGTGGGCATCCAATGCCGTTTTAAAAAAGTAATCTAAACCCGAATTTCCTTTGGAGCCTCACTAGTGCTTTCTTCAAAGACAGCAGAACCAAGGACTGACTAACGTTTGCTTGGGAAGCACGCCAACAGAGCCTCCGCATCTGACCAGCCAAGGGAAAAGAAGAAGACAACCCGAGCAAAAAAAAAAAAAAGAAAAGAACAAGAAGACGAAAAGGAAGTGGAAGTAATAAAAAACAAGAATTGGAACCCGACGAAAGCTGCCGAATAGGCAGAACAGAACAGAGCAGAGACAATAAATCAGTCAGCTCAGCTCTCACCCAGCTAGTCCAGCCCAGCCAGCCAAACGAAACAACCAACCAGAACTACTGCAACTATTATATTTTGTACCTCTTTGCTACTTTACTACGGCGACTGCTACTTACTCCCCTCTCCTGCCGACCTTGCCAGTTTCTTCCTACAGTTTTCTTTGGTTCCTCCTAACGGAAGTACAGCTGCGGTTGCTGCTGCTGCTGCTGCTGCTTGCTGTCTACCACTTATACCTACCTTCAACCGTCAAACCAGAAACCAAACCTGCTGCTTTCTCCACCCGCGTTTTTCCAGCCCGGCCGGTGGATCAACCTTCACTTCTGAGTGGATTGATTCTCTGCATTCTCCTCAATTCTACTACCACCACGACGGCCACGCCAAACCAAACTAACTAAACTATCCGTGTGTCTCCATCTGCCTTTTCCCACCTCGCTCTTCCTTTATTACTACTGTGATCCTTCCCCTCGGTTCGGCCGTTCCAGCGCAACTACCTGCTGACCGCTCCGCGGCCATACCCTTAACCTTCTTTTTTTTTTTTCCCTTTTACCACCTGCCAAGCGCGTCATTAACCCGCTTGCTGGGACCATTAGCTTCATCGGCCACTATTCGTTCCAGCGTCCCTTGATTACCGGACACGGTCATCGTTATTGCTCGGGCCTAAGATTATCGCTCTTTTCTGCCATTATTATTATTATTGTTGTTGTTGCTGTTATTATTGTTATTACTACACCACCACTCTTATTATTCTTCGCTCGCGACCACTACCGTTCTGCTACTGGCGCCGTTAGACGATGAATTTTTCCAGCCTCTGATCCCTGCTCCTCCACCTTCTTCTTTTATTCTTCTTTTCGACCCGAGCCGTGACATCGTGACATCGTGACCTCCCTTATCGTCATCACCACCACTGAGCGTTCAACCTTATCCTGAACTGTTCTTCTTTCCCCTCCCTTCCACTCCCCTCCCCATCCTCTCCCACCCCCAGTTTTATCCACGCGGCTCGGAATTCCCGCGCGCATGATTTATTGATCTATGCGCTCGGTGGTGCCGTGGTTGACTGAGTCCTGACGTGCAATCGCTTTCAATTGAGCCTCATTGCACGGTTCCTGCGGCTTTCTCGGTTCCTGACAGCAGGTGAGCCTATTTTGCATCTTCTTCCCCCATCGCCATTAATCAGAAAACCCCTCGTATCTTGCGACCGGCGATTTGCCTGCTATCAATTGTCACCTTGCTTCTTCTCTTCCCTTGGCTATTCTTGGCCCAACTCGCATCCTGGATATTTTCGTAACTGGTTCAGCTCGTGTTGCCCTTTGAGATCTGTAAGATCTAGGTTGCTACTTGCTGCCTCCGGGATATTTGCACGTTCTTCTGGATTTCTTCCCATACCCTGCACGCTCGTCTGGCGTCTCATCCCCCCCTTCTGTGACCTGCTCTCTTTCTCCCGAGTGAGCGTTGCACAGGCTTGCCCATCTGTACCCTATTCATAGCCAACATTGTCCTTCTCTGTCGTGCCACCGCTTTCTCGAGCCTGTGTACATGCTAACATGGTGCCAGCACACCTGCGATCGACAAGTGGATTGTGTCCTATTCTGCTTGGCAAACCGTTTGAGCGGCTGTCTATTTTCCGGGTCGAAGACTGTGTTCTGAAACACTTCTTCAGGGCACTCGAAAGGTACAGGCAGGCCAAATCGAACAGTAAGGGGCGGCGCACCTGATGCGCCTAAAACCGCCGCCTTCATGACAGAATCATATGATTCCGATGGACCTGGCACCCCTGCGTTGAAGCCCACAACGATCAATTACTTGCCAAAGGTGTCACCGCCTCCATTCGATACCGGAGATCAATCACCCAAGGGCGGTCTACCTAAGCACGATGCAGAGGCACAGTTTCCGAGCAGTTCGCGTAAGCTGCCGGAATTCCAAAAGCCCGATTCAACTGAGGGCAACTCGGTGCTGATCAGACATTTAGAGCCTAATCGACCTGACATAGCCTGGTTCGAAACTGAACATCCGCTTCACCGCAGCATTCCAGCGGACGACCCCTATCCGGTTCTTCCCAAGATCCTATTCGCCCCGGAAAAATCCTCCGTGGAGACCAAGGAGCCTGTAGATGTGGCGAGAAAGGCTCTCAATTTGATCAGTCCGAGCGAGCCCAAGGAAGGAGGCCCGTCTGTAGGCCCGAAGGATCCTCCAATCCCCTACAAGGAACCACGCCGACCGTCCATTCCAGTTGAAGAAACTGTGCTCAAAGAAGAACAGCAGCAGCACACGCCGCCTAATATCCCTCATATATCACATCTATTCCAGGATGGGAAACTACCTGATCCTGAAGCACGATTGAGCAAGTTGCTGATAGCACCGTCGGAGCCAACAGCTCAGCTGCCCGCCCTCCACCCGTCAGCAACGGCGAGCTCCGTGAATCATAACCTGCCCTCCCTTTCAACGGCATTGGCCGGTGTTACCGATGTACCACCACCTGCTGGTGCCGGACGTCTGAATGGCTCGTCTTTCGGGCCTTTGCCTCCGGTCTCATCTTCTTCTCCCCCGGTATCAAGGACAGATCCTGTCTGGGAGCACCAACGCTTAGGCCAGATTCCGCCTCCTCCGCCGCAAGTCCCGCCCAGCCCCTACTCGCACTTGTCACCAGCGAGCTCGAAGGACATGTCGGCCATGTCGTCGCCCGCATCCCAGCAGGCTTACTGGCGGCCGCCTATCAAGGCGGACATCACGTATCTCACTTCAACATATGAGACTGCGCCGCAGACGGCCAAGAGCCCCGCAACAAGCTATCCCACCCCGACAGATCAGACTCCAGCATCAACCTGTGATCGGTCATACAATCCCCCCACACACTCGAACGGAGCGGTCTCCACAGGCACATACAAGTGCCGTCACCCTGGCTGCACTGCAGCCCCATTCCAAACGCAATACCTGTTGAAGTAAGCAGTTTCACGTGCACCGGTCCAGTAACCCAAGCTCATCGCATGTACAGCTCCCATGCAAATGTCCATTCTCAGGATCGCCCGCATTTCTGCCCCATAGCTGGCTGTCCGCGTGGACCCGGCGGGAAAGGATTTAAAAGGAAGAACGAGATGATTCGACATGGCCTTGTCCATAATTCGCCTGGATATGTATGCCCATTTTGTCCAGACCAACAGCACAAATACCCTCGACCGGACAATCTGCAACGGTAAGCCTTTACTCGATCGCATCGAATGTCTTGCAACCCAGCTCACAAGTCACGAAACAGACACGTCAGGGTCCACCATGTCGACAAGAGCCGAGATGATCCGGCTCTCAGGCAGGTCCTATCGCAAAGGCCAGAGGGTAGTACGCGTGGACGACGCCGTCGGAACAACGTACCATGAATCTACGACTCACATAGGCCTCATCACCCTTTCTATCATCGGCTCAGCGATCCGCTCTAAAAGTGCAGGTTACCCATTATACGATATTGCATTAGCGACAGCGTCCGTTCGCGTTGATTTATTCTGTGATGAAGAGTTGACTTTCTCAACAACCGTCCATGTGACATTGTGAGGATAACGCAGTCAATTCTTTGTCTATCATCATCGACCATCATGGCATTCATGTATACTGACTGCACATGCATTACGAACCTTCCCACTATCTAAGCAATCCACCAATAACCCCTTTCTTTTCCACATCTATTCGACTCCCCCCTTTTTCAGTGATACCAGATGTTGTTAGAGCCTTGATCTACTTCTACTTCCAACTTCAATTCCTCGTTCATCTTCTTGCATTGCTCGCATCATGTCATTCGCTTCTTGTGTTCGAATAGTTTGATTCCCCCGTTCGTCTTGCTAAGTAATCTGGCGAAGTGTGCACGGGTTTGTACAAGACTTTGCTAGTGGGCGTTTTTGCCGTGTTTCTTACTTGTCTTTTCGCACCTTTTCTTTACACCACTTCAACCCCTATTTTTTTTCTTTTTTTCTTCTTCTTCCTCTTCGCTTTTCTGATTCACAACTACCCAATTTGCGACCTTATTCTTCCCACTTTGCTTTTCGCTTCTCCCTCAGACTATACATATAGGAGGTTCTGGCGTCCTCATTTCCCTTTCTTTTTTTCCCCCCAATTTTCTCTTTCAATTGTGGATGGTAACGAGAGGCGTTTTTTTCTTCCCAACGGTTCATTTCATTTCTCATTTCCTATTATTTACGATGTCTTGATTTGACTTGAATTTACCCCACTTGCACTAGCTAGCTAGCCAGAACTGAGCGGCTAGCTGGCTACAATGATATGAATTGAGATCAGATGAATTGGGGAGAAAATTTAACTCTAGCGAATAAGAAGGAACAGCGAGATTCAGCATAAATGAGTTATTGAGCGTGAGTTGCTGTAGTAGGTTATGTTGTGGCTAGCGATAGTGCTAGCCAGCTAGCTGGTAAAGTATGCGGCTCAGCGGTGATAAGAAGTCACAGTCACACCACGTCAGAAAGCATAAATTGAGAAGGCTGAGAAAGATACACAAAAGGTACTTAATAAGCAGAGCGACTCAAAAGATGACACGTATAAGTACAGTAAAACGTAGAATGGTGAGTCAATTTAGTATTGGTAAGGTAGTAAGTAGTTGTCAAGGTTGACTGTCACTGTCACTGTCCTGCAGTGCTGGCGGTCCAATTTCCCCTCATTTTGAATCTCAGATGGAATGAAATAGAAACAAAATATAAATAAAACCAATAACCCCGTTCAGGAAAATCCAGTAAATCGCGCCGTTGGTCCCATATATCTCCGCCCAATCCCGAATCTGTGGATATCCCGTTTGATTTGTTAAGTAAAAGATGATAGTAGGAAAAAATATTTTCATGAAGAGGAGGGGCAGCAGTAAGAAAGGAAGGAAGAGGGAGGAAGGATCAAAGGAGTGAGGAAAAGAGACATCATCAAGTCTCCCTCCTCTTATGAATTCTCCTCACATGATCCTTCATGTTGTCTACCCTACTAAATACCCGCTGACACCCATCCCACTCACAAGGAATCTCTGGGTTGTGTTTGGCCTCATGCCGGTCTCGGTCTTTCTTGCTGGAGAACCCGCCCCGCACAGCCTGTGGGCACCCTTCGTACCGGCAAAAGAGATGTTTGCGGTGACGATTATAGTGTTTCCGGAGATCACAGCCCCGACGGAAGACGGCGTGCGAGGAGCAGCCGGGGTATGCGCAACGCCAGGTTCCGTCGGGATTTTGAATACCATAGTTGTTTAGATCTCGCGTCTGGCTGCGGGCGGAGGAGGTGTCGGAGAGTGATTGAAGTTGGAGATCGTCGAGATCGAGGTCGAGATCTAGCTCGAAGTCAAGGTCTGCGGTGGTAGCGGAAGATAAAGATGCGGTGGTTACGGGGGTTAGCCGTGATTGAGAGAAGGAGGACGGAGCTGACTCTGGGAGATAATAGTCGGCATTTGTGGGGTTAGGAGATGATTGTGATACTGCTATCGCGAGCCATTCTTCTTGATCAATGGGAAAGTATGCCCCGTCTGTGGTTGGTATGGCTGGGGGGAAGGATTCAATTTCGGGACCGAATGACTGCGGTGGTATGGTCTGGTGTGAGAATAGAGGCGGATAGGACTCTTGATCCTGAAAGTAGTGGGTGCCAACTTCTGGCTTCCTTTGATGGAGGGGCTGTGTTTGGTCAAAGGCGTAGGGGACTGACCCAGACATGCTGCGGGCATCTGACAGGGGGGCCTGTTGAAAGGCTATAGCGGGAAAAGGAAATGGCTGCACCTCTGGCGACATCGTACTGTGGGTTGAGGAGCCGCCGGGCACCATCAGCATGTCTCTGTTGATAGTAGTCCTTGAGGTCATTGCGGATGGTTCGGAACTGGTCAAAAGTGCCCTAGACACTCGGGTGCGCTTGTTCTGGGAGTAATCAGTATGGAGGGAACCTAGTCCGTTGAGCATGGGTCTCACCAATGTATCTTTGTCCATGGACGTACCTTCGGCGGTACTTGTAGTTCATGTACTGAGTCGACTTGGAGTGTTTCGGTGGAATGAAGCCTATTTCTTTGGATGGTTTGTCACAGATTGGCGGGCTTGGATGCATTCTGGATATTTAAAGCTAGTAGAAGCCGTGGTTCTCCAACATTCTTATCTTCAGGAGTGTCTCGAATGTCAGATGTGGCTATGCACATCCCCCAGGGCTGACGGTCAACGGGTAGCTGGGCGAATCCCTTTACAGATGCTCGATAATCAGATTTAGGGCGTCGATGTCACTGTACCATTGACTTTGGTACTGGCCCTCATCGCTGGTGGCTCCCACGTTTGCCCTGGAAATGCAGCTCGGGATTCCCGTGTCTAAACTCTCCAGAAGCCAAGGGGGACGTTTATTCGGCTGCTGCGAGGTGATTGGTAACTCGAATAGGCATGCAGAACTAATGAATTGTCATGCACTGCGGCTGAAAGATTAGAACCAACCCTATTCGGATGACACATTTGCTCAAAGACGATCCATCCAATCTGAGGCACAATGCCCAAGCAGATCAATATTAGTGCTCTGATTTTTTGGTGTGCGGTTTCTTTTTCTCTTTGCTTTTCCCGGTTTACCACGCCAAAACTGGACTCTTGCTGCTTATGTAGAAGTAGGAAGTGTTCCATTGCCGCTTAAGTCCGACTCTTTTGATAGGGCTGATGTAAAGAGCGTCACAGGATATTTCCAATAAGGCACCAGAGAAGTGGTGATGGGTAATACAGACGGTTCTGGACATGAGGATGACGTTTGAGCCCCAATCCAGTAGTTGCAGGACCTTTTGTTCGGCGCTGATAGGGCGCGTCCGTTCGGGGAGTCGGCGGACCAGCGTATGGACGGAAGAAGCTGCGTGCTGATTGGTTCTGTCGTGTACTTGTTCCGGCGACTGCATCGTACATATGCATGCGGAATTCTCTGGTTCATGGGGAACCTGGTTGGAAAGTCTAAATGCCGTCTGAGCCTCAGCGCCGAGCGACAACCTCTAAACAAAGTTCCAGGTAATCCGATCCCAGGATGGCCCAACAGGGTAGGAGGCAAGGCAAAAAAAAGGCATCAAACTAAGAAAATAGTCGTCGTACGAGTCATATCACTGGGCAAGGGCCCTCGCCGTTGAGGGTTGGACGACGTCAACCATTCGCGATGATTGCTTGGACGGGTAGGTCAGGCCCCCACGCTTACTCCCAAATGGGTGTGCATTTCGACGCTATAACCATGGCTGAGAATGCAGATCATTTTGGCTTACCGCCAGATGGACTTAAGCCTTAAGCCCACGATCCCTGCCGTCGGGCCTTGGTTGCCAGTATTTCTAGGTGACGGGCCCCCGGGACTGGAGGATTGCTCGCAGGAAGGCCCGGAAAGAGGGTCGCTGTCAGCATGGACCGGCTGCCAAAGAGCGGTGTCGCCAGGTCCAGTAGTCTTTAGTCTTCTCAGACTGGCCTCCATCGGGCTTGCAGATCTGGCCTAGGCCGGGTTAGATCGCGTGTCACTGCCATGTTACATCGCGGTGTGGATGTGTAGATACACTTTCGCGGAGAGAGCCAAAGACATTGTTCCAAAAATACATTGTCACGGTTGAGGGGGCCGTCTATCATTCCTCCCCAACCAACACACATGACTATTTTCAGCTTCGTGTGATAATCCAGGCAGTAGACGCTGTATACGAGTTACAGCCATCTTTCCAGACGGTTGCTCCGTCGGCTGTGTTGGCGGAGAGGTCTATGAGGTCATACATGTCACAAAATCGCAGCCTCAGTCATCATCCGACCAGAAATCTTAAAGCGAGAAAAATTAAAGTCAACCAGCTCGATGCTCTTCACATGACCAAGACCCTCCAAAAAGAAAACGTTCTTATATCCGATTCATCCAGAAAACCGGAACCGCCGACGGGTCGGGGCCGCCGAAGTGTTCCAAAGTTTCGACATCTAACCACCACAAGAGACGGAAGTCTAAATACTAACTGCGCCCGGGCAGGCCGTTGGACTCAGATAACAAAGGAGTCCGGTCACTCGGGTTCTGGGTCTTACCGCTATCGTCTTCTGCATCTCTGTAGAGAATGTAGTGCTGCACCACAAAGATCAGATCGAAAAAGATGGTAACGTTCGACAAGAGAAACTTGATGGGGTTTCCAGTGACTCCACTCCAATCATCTTGGAAGCTAGAATCCAGCAGCAACTGGGCAAGGGATAAGACACCTCCAGACAGATCAAATAAGATCTGTCCAATACTCCAGCCGTATGTGGATTTACGCTTATAGTTGACCCACGCTTGCGGTACGTACTTCACAATGGTGATGACCAATTTCACGTAAGAAAGGGCATATATCTAAATTGACACAAGATCCAGGGGTCAGAACACATGCGGATTAGCCATTTGCAGATCTTTGGATGACTTACGACATCAATCCACGCCCAAGAGTATGGATCAAAGCCGTTATTTGGGCTCTGGCCGAGAACGATGAATATAACGATTGTGACGCCGACTATAGAGCCCCAGAAAAGGCCTGCTACCGGCTTGCTCACTTTCTGATGGCGAGAGACCTTGAATCCCCAGATAAACGGCCAGAACTGTGTATAGGTGATAAAGCTAAGAACGACGGCATGTAGAGCAAAGGCAAAGTCGTTGAAGCGCACGGTCGGGTCCTCAGCATGTGGATGCCGAGCAGCATACTGATGGCGAATCACGGGAGAGTAAAGAAAAGCGGACGTATATATGGTATAGCACACGAAGCCTAGCACGTTGATGGTAGGAAAGTCGATTGCCAGCCCCGTTGTTGAACGTCGCCGGAAGTTGTTGATCGGTTGGGGATAGAAGGACGCAGACCAACAGAACGTGCTGAAGAACGTTAATAAGTATGTATAATCCCCCAAAGTCTCACGTCTGTCGTGATGGGTATCCTCCCTAGTACTCGCGGGTTTGAAGACGTACTATATCCAGCCGAGTAGGCTGCGTTGCCATGGTGTTAGTACAAGGTACAAATGAGATAAGGCGGAAAGATCAGGAGGGAGACCTACCGAGAGAGCGCTCTCACGAAGATTTCTAGCTGAGTTGCCATAATTACCTCCTTGTAGCTCTGCTGCTGCTTTCTTGTATAGGAGGGAGTAGGAGAGGCACTGCAGCGAGATGGAGAGGCTATCTATATGCCTCGATAGAAGGGAGGATGGAGTGGATCTGCTGGCGGAGAGAGCAGCTGATAAGATACGGAAAGCACGCGATTGCGGTCACCTGGCCTGACCGCTTTCCCAACTTTGTTGACTGGTCTCTGGAATTGGGTTCCTTGCAAAACTGGTGGATCGTTCCTGGGTTGATTAATTGACCTGGGCCCGCAGGGTTCACAATGAATACTACTATAATACTACTACAGGAAGACTATCGACCAAGTAACTAGGATCGGTGGAGTGGAGATCCAACAAACCTTGAGGAAGACACTGACCCTGCTATTTGAATAGCAACCATTTTTGGTGAGACTATGTCATCGGCTAATAGCCCAGCTAACTATGCCCCGGCTTTCACCGGGATCGGCATGTTTATTGATTAATGCCACGATCATGGAGATACAAGAACTAGATAACCTGCGAGGGATCGTTCAATTGGTGTCGATGATAATCATACTCGCATACGCAGGCGGTCTCCCGCGGCAGAAGGCTGAGTCAGCGGGTGGTTGTCCGGGATATAGGCTGACGGGCTAAACCGCAAATGGAAAACAGTTGTTGCGATGAAGCGGCTTGCTTGCCCCAGCCTCAGCGGCATTCCAGCCTGCATCTCGATCGTTCGGCGGTTATCCGCTTCCCTGTCCCACGATCCGTTCATCTGCTTCAGTGCTGTTCTTTCTTTTCTTTTCATCTAAGTGGTCTTCAATTGTTGGCTATACAGGCTGGTGTCCTGCCACGCTTCTCTTATCCTTGCCATATCTACTACCTAGCCCTCCCCCACCCTCCATCTATACCTATCACTCACCGCTAGCCTCTTGTTCCTCGAAAGATAAACAACCATTGCAACGCTGGGCTCGGTCGCGTTTTAGCCTCTGCGATCGAATTCCCCGGGAACTCAAGTTGACGCCACTGCTATCGATTTCATTCGACCTTTCCCATCAGCGCATGGTGCATTCTTCGGAGTGGGGGATCTCGCTAGATCTCCGTCGGTAGTTCGAACATTCCAGTGTCAATGAGATCGGGAGGAATTCACGTCGATCGGAAACTATAAGAGCTCAAGGTCTTCAGTAACCATGGCGGTCGACTCTGGCCTCTCCGCTGCGGGGAGCAGTACTTACGCTTCGAATACTCTGCATGTCGGCGATGGAACATGGGACTCGGAGCGCGACACATTCCTCCTCCCTAATCTGATGGGTATCAACTTCGACACAATGCGATACAACGGTAAGTAAGCTTATAATTCTATGGTGCGCAAAATCGCTCACATATGTCAGGAATGGGAAACCGATTCAAAGATATGCCCGAGTACCATACCCTCATAGCCGTTCACGGTATCATCGCTACTATCGTCTTCCTCTTCCTCGTCCCAATCTCTGTCTTGATCATCCGATACTACTCTCGATGGAATCCTTTCTGGGCTTTCAAGCTGCATGTCTGGTGCCAAGTCCTGACATTATTGCTCAGCACCGTTGTGTTTGTGTTCGGTTGGTTCGCTGTCGGTCCAAAGAGAAGCCTGACAAACCCGCATCACGGTATCGGGCTCGCGATATATGTCCTGGTGATCTTTCAAGTTCTGTGGGGCTGGCTTGTTCATAAGATCGAGAGGAACAGGAGGAGTTATCATGTCCCATTGAAGCTTGTTGTATGTTGTGTGACCGTTTGGTGTCCTGCCTAAAAGCTAACTCACGCCAGATTCATCGATGGATTGGACGCGCCCTCGCAATCCTTGGTCTTGTTCAGATACCGCTGGGTCTCACCCTTTATGGCTCGCCTAAGGTGCTCTTTATTCTCTACGCGATCGTCGCCTTCATCCTCCTCGTAGTGTTCTTCGTGCTGTCATATCTATACGACACAGAAGGGTATCACATGGAGGGCGGCGGATACGAAAGTCGGCTCAGCTATGTCTCAGGGCCCTCAGCTGCCGATGACCATGGCCATAGTAACCTCGGACCCATGGCTGCCGCAGGGGCGACCGGGGCCGGCCTAGCTTCGCTCTTCAGACGTCGTTCCAGAGGCAGACCACACGATTACGACGAATCGCATACCAGCTTCTCAGACGAAAAGCTTTCCGACGAAGGCCCACGGCGTGGTGGCAAAGGGAACTTACTTCTAAAATTAGGTGCAATTGGCGGTGGTGCCTGGCTCGCAAAGAAGTTCTTCGACAGAAGACGCGAACGAGACAACGACACGGAGTCCGGTCGATACAGCAGAGCCCATACTCGGAGTGACAGCATGACCGAAGAAAGCTTGAGTAGACTGGAAGATGGGCGACGACCGGAGCCAACAGCGCATACGCCTCTCAACCGTCCGCCGAGCAGGCCTCCTAGTAGACCTCCCAGCCGGCCCCCCAGCAGGCCCCCGAGCAGACCACCAAGTCGACCTCTTAGCCGTCCCCAAAGCCCAGGCTCGTCGTACCTTTACAACAGCACCTATCTTTCTGAAGCTCCCCGACGCAGGCCATCACACGGACTCCGAGACGCTTTACTCGGAGCGGGGGCCTTCGCAGCGATCAAGGGTTTCTTCTCACGCCGCAAAGGTGATGCAGAACAACGTCGCGTGGAAGATATGCGCCGTCGGGAGATGGAAGATGAGCGGCTGGCCCGGGCCAACAGCAAGCGACGCTACCCCGGAGAGGGCTATTACCCAAGACGCGACAGACCGGCATCATTCACAGCCACGGATCTCTCATCAGACTTCTCCCGGCCACCCCGCGGTCCGCCGCACGGCGAGTCCATCGTCTCAGCAGCAGGACCCCCAATGGCATCCGGAGCAGTAGACGGAGCACGCTCAGACATACCACCGGCACCAGGGCCACCTATTCCGCCACCAGCAGCCTCAGAATATCCCGGACCAGCAGCATCTACACATGGCCCCACGGAGCTCGCATCAGGAGTAGCAGCCGGAACAGCCCTCGGTGCTGCATCATCGGCACATCGCCGTCGCAGCGCCAGCCGTCACCGAAGCAGCAGCCGACCCAGGAGTAGCAGCCGCCACCGTGACCCCATCGCATCTCCCCCGGTTTCCGTCAAAGTGAAAATGCACAACGACGGCCGCCACGTTACTCTCCGAAGACTAACAGATGAAGAAGCCGCCGCCAGTCGCGAAGCAAGACGAAGAGAGCGAAGGAACTCCCGCCGTCGCGCCGGCAGTGCAAGCTCACTATCCGGAAACGAAGGGGGTTCGAACGACCGCTGGCGCCGTGTCGAGGAGCTAGAACGCCAGCAACAGGAGCAGATGCAACGTGAACAGGCTGCTGCTGCTGCGGCAGCTTCCTCAGCTTTCCCAGCAACTTCCGCCGCTCCATCATCAAGTATGCCTCCTCCTGCGGCGTCAGCTTACTATGCACCACCGCCTCAGAACGGGAACGGGGGCTATATGCCGCCTCCCCCGCCGCCCCCTGTGCCATCTAGCCATCCTTATGGAACAGGGAGTATCGCGTCTCCGGGTACGTTTACTGGGACGGAAGCGAGCGGGGACTACGCCAGCAATCGTCGACGAAGACGCGCGGAGAGAGCGCGTGCACGTCAAGAAAGACAACAGCATGGTGTGGAATTTACTTGATGAAATTTATCCCTTGCTATAACCCATGACCTTTCTTCTTCTTTTCCCCTTCCCCTGTATAGCAACCTTGATGATTTCATGCCCCTCTTCTCTTTGGTGTTTAATTGCGTCCCATGAATTTGTTTCTTTTTTCTTTTGAATTTAACCCCTTCATGTCAATCTTGAAATACGTTTTGATGTACAAGTGCCAATGACTCGCTGTCTCGGGTGTTGGTTCTTCTGGAAACTACGCTTCGTGCTTGTTGAAGATATTTGTGCTCGGAAAGAGCTTCTTGTCTGGTGATGTCCGGTAATGACGCTATGAAAGCAGCCATGCAGAACGGTTGCAATGAGCAAGGGAATGGATACGAATTGTTGGTTTCGTTTGGCTATTGGTTTATGATAAAACTGCTATGAGGAAATGGACAGTACTAGGCTCATAAGCAGTAGGAGTCGGTGCTCCTTGAATTGTGGTTTTCTCATTTGTCTCCGATTCCTGCATATAATGGTCGCCATTTCGTTCATATTGTGCTGCATTCTTGTTGTTTAGTGAAAATAAAAAATGATGTTTTTCACGTCTGAAGTGTACCATCAGTAGCAGAGTATCGAGCGCTGTATTGTCCTCAATCACACATCGGCTGAGCAAGACATCATTCAAGCCATTGATCAAAGAGCCGCATGTTGGTCTCTTGCGCTCTGGGTCGTATCAGACTCCCTTTGGTGAATGGAGAAGTTGACGCTGAACCTCTCTAGTACATACAATACTGGAAGTCCGATGAATCTCACAAAGAGGTGCACAAAGCTAGCCACGACTTCTCTGTGTGTCAGGCTCCGCAAGACGTTACATAAACCCAAGATCAGCCGCATAGCGAGATACGGCATTGTAATATCGGCCCGAAAGAGGCGGGTGGCATCATATGAAGAAACAGGTAGGTTGAGCTCTTGCCCTTGGTGTGTGTCAATAGACTCCGACGCGCTTGCGTTTGGCCATGGCCAAACGAAGCTCCAATGAGTTCGTATGATGCAAATCCGGAACGTGGGTGCTGAAATGGTTGCTGTCCAATCAAGATTATACTGATAACACCTCGTTCTTTTGGCTGTAACAGTTGGGAAATCCAGCTAAGTGGCTTCTCAAGCCAGTTCCCTATACGCTTCAGGTTTGGGTCTGGTACCTCTTGGGGGCTTAACAAGGCGTTACTGGGGTTTCGGACGCATGTCTTGGCAGACCTCGACTTAGCAATCCTTAAATCCTGGCGCAATGGCAAGCCGTCAATTGAAGGCAAGGGGGCGGGGAACGGCTGGCTCAGATTGTTCTTGACGTGGTAAGGCTTTGTGCCACGTTTGGCAGGCCGGGACAGGAATCGGGATGGGCCGAACTTGGGGTCACTCCAGGGTCCTCTGTGTCGCTTGCCGATATCGTTGTCCATACCTTGTAGCAATATTGATCGGTTGGCCAATCGAATACGAGACCTCGAACAGCCCTGGGGAGTGGACATCTGAGCTCTGGGAGGTGCTAGCCATTTGTGATCCACGTGATCGTCTCTCAAGGCAGGCATCGGACTCGGGGTTGCATTTTCGTATGTCTCGGAGCCGGCAATGTCAAGGTGTGCTAAGAATCGCGGTTTAGGGGGCCTTGGCGGTTTCCACGCTGGTTTAGCCTCGACAGGACCGCGACTATTGCGTTCGGATAAGCTTTTCTCATTCAATATAGCGAGGGTGGTGTTTCCCGGTCTCGCCGGAGACGGAGTATCTCGGTCTGATTTACCGCAAGGTCCGATTGTGCTCTCATACCATTTTTCAAAAACAAATGCATCATTAAACATGTCGGGCATTCCTTGGCGGTTGGCAGTGTCCTTATCGGAGAAAGTTTCCAACATCTTGCATGCTGAGGTTGACGGGTCTGTCGGGTGTTCTTTATCCACCTCCATTGGAAATATGTGGAAAGCGTCAGTATCATGAGAATCGCTGCGGGCCATGGTTGGGCGGGCAGGACAATTCTCTGGGTGTTTATACTGTAGTCGACTCGAAAAGTTCTGGGGATTGTCCGAGGCCTGACAGAAGGGATATTCCGGATCACTGGACTTGGGTTCCTGCATGATGGTAACTGGCTTGGTGAACGCAGGGGGCATCATAGGCTTTCTGGATGTCAGTCGTCTGCTTTTTCAGCGTTAGTTAGGAAGCGAAAGAAACCAAATGAAGCAGAAGTTAGGTAGTAGGCAAGAGAAAGGAGTGGAAGAGGAAGAATAAGGAAGGCGAAAGCAGAGGTCTCTCCTCAACTAAGTCGGAAAGAGCAACCCAGGCAGGCGTGTAGCCGAGAAAGGCATCAGCAACCAGTTTATCAGCGCAAGGCAATTGTCATAATTAGCTATTTATGGGCATCTGCCCCGAAAACCATGCAAGTAATGTTTCATGAGAATTGCTATAATTCTACAGGTTCAAAGTTGAAGTCGCGAGTGGATATGTACATCAGGTATCTATTTGAGGACGGCCTGCAGGCTCTCCAGCACCTGTTTTTTGTTGTTAGTCAGGATGTTCGGGTCTTGTTTAAAGGTGTCTGGCCTACCTCAAGCTCAATCTTGGCCTCAGCAATATCCTGCTCGCTGCCGCTTCCGTTGGCAATCTTCTGGGCCTCGGCGATCTGGGAACGGACGTTCTGTGTTGAGGGTGACGAATTAGCACTGCCCAGAGGATAAAGCACGGATCGGTTAGAACCTACGTCAATGCTGAATTCCTCGAGAGGGAAACCCTCGACGGCGTTAATGCTCAGCTGGGAGTCGGGCTGGACAACGGCGAAACCACCAGACACTAAAATTCATGAGAAGTTATGTCAGTCTTGTCCTAGACACGATGTGTAGCGGCTGATCTGAAGAATCTCGGCCCGCGGCACAAATATCAACACGTTTGGTCGGACGTACGGAAGAACTTCTTGCTGGCACCACCCTCCTCAACGATCTCAACGAGACCGGGCTTGAGCTGCTCAATGGAGGGGACGTGGTTGGCGAGAACACCCATCTCTCCGGACTCGGCGGGGATGTTGACCTGGACACTATATGGGAAAGGTTCGTAAGTATGGGGCGGTCTAAGGTGAAAGGTGGTCGTGCAATGCTTTCAACATATTCGGATTGCGAGGCTACATACACGCCGGTCGACTTGAAGATGGACTGTTGAGAGAATAAATTGTCAGTATCAAACACTCAGGCAGGTGCACAGAGGCGCTCAACGGAATCGGAGGCGTACCTGGTGAGGAAGGGTCAGGGAAAGCTTGATCTTGTCCGACACAGCCTCGGCGTAACCTCTGCGCTGGAGAGGAACGCGGAAAGCGGAGGGACGAGCCCTGAAGGCAGAGCGAGCGAAGCGGAGAGAGCTCATCTTGCAATGGACGAAGGGGGTGGGTGGTGATAGTATCCCTCTTGAACCTGAGTTGGGAGTTGCAAAGGTCGAAGTCGGATGCCGGTTGTTCCCTAGCGGCTCGGGCGGTCACGTGGTGGGCCACGCGCCAACAGAAGACCGCCGTACTCGGTTGCTGCGTTGACCTGCACAACGCTCGACTCCTTCTTGTTCTCCGGTTATTGGCCTTGGGTGTGCGGAGATCGCTCTCTGCTAACTGCTAAGGGCGCCTATCTTTTATCTATCTGCATCCCGGACGTGAAACTACCGGCTGGATGTGGTTGTTGTTACCACGATTCTTTACAAGCATATGCTACAATATTACAAAATGGGAAAATCAAAGCAATCTAGGCGCGTAAGAGGATAGGAGATAAGACAGCCATCAGCAATATCACCACCGTCATACCGACGGTCATTCAACCAAGTCCGCATGTATCCATCACTGGGGCCCATGTTAATATCACGTGATATCCGGCTGTCAACATTCCCATCATCAAAATTATGGATCCCATATCCATCCATACCATTGATCTCGAATCGACATCAATTGGACAGGGCTTATGATTGCCTAGTTTTTCAACCACATGCTTTCTGCGTTCCACATCTAAACCTCCGGTCAATGTGTGCTTCATAGTCATGCATACTACGCAGTATTTCCCCAGCATTGACTCCAAACAGTCGACCATATTGTTAGTCATCAATCACGGGATTGTTTGGTGCCTCAGGTATCAATGCGATCCCCGACATTGACGATGCGCCACCGTCTCCATGAAAGTATTCAAGTAGCAAGCAGAACCTAGCACCTTAAGCAGATTCATGTAGTTAGCAATCAATAATCCCGAATACAATCAAATCTAGACCCTAAGCCAGGACAACCCCCCGCCCAAGCAGTAGCTAGAGAAGTAGGCCTACAGTGAAGAAGACACCAAGACGGGCAGGACGCTAGCCGTGCTCGGTAAGCGAAATCCCACAGAAAACCAGCCCTAGCCGAACCTGCCTTGGGGACTCTGGCCTTCCGCTCCGTTCAGGATAACCTCACCCGCCAACTCCTCGTCAACCGTCTGTTAGTTGCGACAAATCCGACAAGATGGCGAGTACGTGACACCCCTTTTGCTCCAAAATATTCAAACCCCGTTATTTTTGCATTCCCGTCTCTCTCGGACGAAGAATGCGATTATCGACCGTCTTCACATCGAAGAATCATGTATAGCTGACATGAATCTCTACAGAGTCCAAGAACGCGTCTCAGCACCACAACAGCCAGAAGGCTCACCGTAACGGGTGCGTATAATAAGCCGGATTTCTTCCTACCTTTTTTCATCTGTTCCATACACGAAACGCCCGAGGACGAATACTGCGATGTTGGATAGCGGACGATATCTTCGACACATGTGAGGTTCAGCGAACGGGATAAGGAGGAAGAGCATAGATACTCTCGCCCCGATGATGGAGGATATCGATCAATATCCAACATTCGACATATTCGTCCTCCGGGAATCAACACAACAACTACAACGAGACCGCTTGAGATAGATCGGAACACTGACCATCGCCTTCTTTTTTCAACTCAACAGTATCAAGAAGCCCAAGACCCACCGTTACCCCTCCCTCAAGGGTGTCGACCCCAAGTTCCGCCGCAACCACAGACACGCCCTTCACGGAACCGCCAAGGCTCTGGTACGTCTTTTTCCCTATGGCCGATCCAACAAGAATTTCATCAGTTGTTGGGCGAAGCCGAGAAGAAGAATCGACACTAACAACCCGAACAGAAGGAGCGCAAGGAGGGCAAGCGCGAGATCGCATAAATTACTTCCAACTAATATAGAAACGTTTTAAAAGAAATGAAAGCGATTTGAGTTGGTTGATTTGCTCTTATCTCATTTCCTGTGTTTACTATGTGCGACCGACAACGACAGCAACGCAAAGCGCCAGTCAAGAGACAAAACACATGGATGAGGGTTTCATGTCCCGTTGGGTTGTTATTACCCCGCAAGACCGGATTTGTCACATAAAGCAAATGGATACGGTTCTCTAGTGTTGCTTTTTCTTGGGCTTCATTTATCTCCCGTGGCCGGTGGTTCATTCGCTTTTTGTTGACGTTGCGGTTCTCATACCGTAGTTTGATGATGGGTGAAGTTGGTGTTGATGATGAAGAAACAGGCATATGTGTGTACAGCTTCGTGCTTATTTTTCCATGCGCGCTTGCTGAAGGATTTATTTTACGTGCCGAGAGAAGATCCCATGCCCTCCAATTACCAAACACCCTTTGCTCTTTGCTCTACCATGGCGAGAGGGTGCATGGACGGAGGGCTACATACTACCATACCCATGTAGGCCTTGTAGGTTTTGATAGTGAATTGAATATATACTATGGTTTCTCTTTTTCTCAAAATATACCTAATACTTATATAAACTGGAGCTCTTATTCTTGACTTTAAAAAGGTTGAAATCATTCAACCTTCCAAACAACCAACCTCTTATCAAACCCCCCACTAACCAACCACTCCTCCCTCTCACCCTCATCCTTCCCATCAACCCACCCCGCCCAAAGCGTCCTAATCTTACACCCAACCTCATGCCCATCCTTCAACAACGTCACCACCCTCCCCGTCTTCACCTCCACCCCTCTCACAACCCCATCATCCCCATTAACCCACACTCCCGAGCCATCCGGCCTCCACACAACCTGCGGCGTCGAGTACGCCGTCTGCGGCGCAAACGTATTCGCCTGGATCAAGATAGCCGCGTCCTCGCGATTCTGAAGCGACAGGGCAGCGAACGCCTGCGCCGCCTGCGTGGCTGGCTCCTGTTCCTGCTCCGCCGAGCCGGTCTCCAAGCTCTCTGCTGAGGGAAACAGTAACCGCACAATCATGACCTTCATATGCGGAAGAGTCGAAGTTGCGATGGCTATGAGACCTGGGTCATGTGGGCTGAGGGCCAGGCAGGAGGGGGAGAAGGCGACCCAGGCGTTGGAGTGCGGGGCGAGGTTCTGTTTGCCGATTAGGGGGCATTCGTATCCCGTGGTTGAGTCTGCTGACGGTTTGACATGATAGTAGTAAAGATTGCTTGAGTCGCGGCGGGAGACGAGGAGGATTAGATCCTGGGGGTTGTCGATGTGGGTGGTGAAGAGGATGGATTCAGGGTTGGAGAATAATGGGATGGAGGCGATGGGGTCGCCGATTTGCGTGGGGGCTTCGTTGTTGATTTGCATGCGGTAGAGGAAGATCTTGGAGTCCCAGCCTGCGGTTGCGATCCAGATTGTCGTAGAGGTTGAAGTGGCGTCTGCTCCGTTGCTGTTGTTGTTCTTCTGCTCGTAGGCGATGACCTTGACGGCGTATTTGGCGTGGTCTTTGCGGCGGTCGATGATTTCTGCGCCTTTTTGAAGAAGAAGTTGGCCTGACATGTTGGTCATGAGGATGTATTTCCCTTTCTGGATTGGGATGTATGATAGAATCGGGGCTTCTGATGTGCCCGTGAATGATTGGACGAGCTCATGGCCAGGAGATGTTTGGAAAAGATGAAGGTGCCTGTCTGCGCCGGTGGCGATCAGATATGGCTCTGCTTGCGCATCTGGCCTTTGCCATTGCTCTACGGAGCATGCCAATAGGTTTGAACTGGTTGGCGTTTGGATGATGTTAGGCTTGGTCGGTGCTGTGATGGGAGGTCAGCTTCTAGTCTGGAGCGGGGCATGGAGGTTCTATACAGACCTGGAACGCTCCAGACATCTTTGTCCTTGTCATTGTCACCGTATCGCTCAAAGTTCTTGCTTTGGTCGAAGGCTTTCTTCTCCTCGAGTACGTTCTCGATGGTCCAGTTGCTCGTATCGTCTTTGCCGCGCTGTTCTCCCGCATCGGACGGGAGCCCCGCTTCTTGCAGGAAAGCTTTTAGAGTCTGCGTGTAGTTGTTGGTCCGTAAGAAACGGGCCACGAGGGTGCTGGCTAGTGGGATGTTTTGTGATGAGGGTGGCATCTTGGAGGTTGAGCTGGGATTGAGCGACGGAATGTAGTTTGTCGAGTGATAACTGGGAATAAGATATATATCGGGCTAGTAGCTTCATGGCTCCACTCGGACCAGATCTATGTTTCTGACACCAAATTGAAAGTGGCCTGCGCAAATAAGCCGTCTGAGCACTACATTGGTTTCATGAAGATAGCGCATTTAGTAGAGAGTTAAGATGTTCTCATTCATAGGCTGAAGTACAAAACTATAAATATATATAGAAAGAAATATTGGTATCTTTTCACACCACCATCCCAGCAAAAGCAGAATGACAACCAAAGAGAAACCAGTCAGGCAAATATGCACATAGCGACTTGACATGTCGCTCGCCAAAGGTCTAACCCAAATTAAAGTTCTAGGCCTCAGCTAAACATGTCCTCCGCCCTGCGTCGTGGCCCTCCTCGCCCCTCAATCTTATCGGAGAACAGCTCCTTGCCGGCGTTCGAACCGTACTTCGAAGGGAACAGTTCACGTACAGATGATCCCCGTCCTTTGATTGACATGCCATTTGCCGCACCACGAATCGACATGCCCTGATCCTGCCTTGCTGCCCCGCGGATGTTGAGACCGCTTGTCTCGGTCGCCTCGGGGAAAAGCTCAATATCCCGCTTACGGCGCGCAGGTTGTTGATCATGACTTCCATCCACAAGAGGCACTGAGATTCTTCGCGAGAATAGATCTGCGGTCTCGTCCGCAGCATCGATTGCGTCTGACCGGCGATGGTTGCTAACCTTTTGGGGGAAGAGTTCTTTTGCAGTTTTATTTGGAAAGAGCTCTCGCGTTTTCGTATCGCTAGTTTTCGCACCTGAAGACGGGAAAAGCTCCTTGCCTTCATTGCGGCGACCGAGCTGCGGCGACCGGTCGCGGAACCGTCTGCGATCCTGCCGATCATCCTCAGCATATCCGCCTTCCATCAATGTATCCCGGCCGGGTGACGCGCTACGGTTGCGAAGGCGACCAGACAATCGTCCTTCTTCCTGTGGAAATAGATCGCGTCCCCCTCGCCTTCCCCGCCTTTCGCGACTGCGGTCCGACGAGCGATCGCGGCTTGCTGGCGTGTCATCGTACATATTGGCACTGAAGCTCTCGTCTGCATCGCGGTCTCTCCGGCGTTGCAGTTCTCGACCATCAAACCGTCTTCGCCTGTAATCCCCGTCACTGACATCTCCACCTCCCGAGCGTCGTCTGTCGGCGGCGAATTCTCGTCGCAAGCGTTCCCGAGGATCATGTTCAGGGTGCATGAGGTAAAACCGACTGGCTTCGTGCGCGCGGGGCTTTTTGCGATCTGCCTTGACGGCTGACCGAACCTGGAGGACAGAGTCGGGGTGCGTAGAGAGAAGCTTCGCAGATCGTAACCGTAGAGCAGGCAACGCAGATGCATCCTCCTCCTCGCTAACCTGCGTAAAAGCTGACAGAGCTTGAAGACCAACATCCGGCGAAGAGTATAGGAGGTTCGCCGATGTGTCATCAATCCATTCAACGCGACTTGGCTCCTCCAGGGTGAAGTGTTCGACAGCAAATTGTTTGATGTTATCCGTTGTCAACTCGTCTACACCGCGTATATGAACCTTTTCGTACTGTGCCTCCTCGTTAAGAGGGTCGATGTATTCATCTTGAGCAGCTGTCGTTGCCACGAGGGTTTGTTCCTGGACAGTTCGACGAAGATGTTAGAAGTGAACGACTAGAAGCTAACATAGGGCAGGCAAAAATGACACTCACAGTCTCAATTGGTTCTGCTTCCGGAAGGGGACCAAGATCAATGTCCATGTCGATATCCATGGAGGCGTCCATTGTGTCAGCGACTGGGGCAGCGTTGGAGGCGTCTAGATGAAGAGAAGGCTGTTGCGCGCTGGCTACCTCCATTGAGGGAGGAGACTCAGTGGGAAGATGCGGGTATTGGATGTTATACCAAAGCAAAATGAGAAGTAAAGTGAAGTAGCTTTATCAAAGCTCGATGGCAATGAAACAGAGAAGAAGAGGGGCGGCGAGGAGGCTGAGATGAGCGTAAAGTGAAGCCGAAAGGAAGTTGTCTTCTACACCGCCCGGACCAATCGCCGGCGGAGTTTCGCCGCTGCCGCTGGCGATGATGTCGATGCTCTCTCTTTGTCACTTCAACTTGGTGATCTCCTCATTTGATTTTCAACTATCAATTAGATCTCAGAGAAGAGCGTGCTTCTTTTATTAATATTTACAGGCTCGCATAAAGCAGATTAGACTGATCAGATAGTCAAATTCTGTTTAACGGCACTTGCTGGTGATCGGCGCAACAATGACGGCGTTCATGTCAAGCAAGCAACACATGGCTAAAGCTGGCGTTGAGCTGTTGGTCACCGGTGTTCTCTTGGTGACTCGGAAATGAGATTATGGCATGCTCGTAAAATGACAGTTCCAAATGAGACACGGCTGATCGACTAGTCTGTTATTGTCGAACAATGGACTTGAAGCAACATTCTCCTCAGCATCAGAACACCCTTCCAATCTTATCATGGCAATGGTTCCAACCTTATCAAATTGAAAATCAAGTGACATGAAGCTGCACTCAAACTCTGATGCAAGGAAGAGTCGTGGTGGTAACCATGTTGATCATGTCCGCTGAAAGCTTTATGATCTATTCGCATCACCAATTGTTATCGCCTCACTCGATGATACTTGTGGCGTGACAAAAGCGAGCATAGTCTTCCCTGTGGTTTCGGTTTTCATCTATGAGAAGTAGGTCCCATACTTCCAGCTTTATCGTCCTTCCATATGACCCAGTGATGCGACGTGACTGAGTGGTCTGCTTTCCGGGATAATAATCTGCCCTTAATGGTAGCAATATATCAACCCGATGGCAGTCTCATTTAGCTTTCAAGTGGTACACCAAGCCACGTACTACCCTAGCAGATGGTTATCAAACGGTGCCTCAACTTCCAGGTCACTTTCCTACTCTGTTTCACCGTTTAGCGAACGGTCAGGCCCTGCTAAAACCCCGGGCTACCCCCACCGGAGCTCCGGGCGATACAGTCTTCGATCATGTGGGAGCCACTGCTTCTTGTAACTTCCGCCATTCTCGTTGTCAAATGGCGAGTCTGCTCAGACTAAGATGGCTTGACACCTGATCCGCGTAGGGCGCTGTCGCTTCGCACGATAATGATTAATCTCGCCGGATTGTCGTCCCGATGTTCCTGCTGCACTCTGCTACGGCGATATAGAATGTCAGCGGTGAATATCATGCAGTAGCACGAAGATGCAACTGATCATGAATTTGGGGCGAACATGATGTTATATTGATTTCCGTTCATATGTAGAGCCGTCTACATCATCAACGGCCAACGCTGGCTTTTCTTTTCTATATACAGAACCGAGGATTCGTTCCACCTTTTAAACAAACCGCTGTATATTATCCCTACTTTAGCAAAGATGCAATGATGAGTTGGGTCAAGATAGCATGATTGCAATCATGACCAGATACAATCCTTGTGTTGCCGCCTTCCCCGCTTCTTGTCATCTCGATTCTCCCCCGGAACTTCACCTCACTAAAGGATTGTGGCGGTTAACATTAGGCTATATTCCTCTATCCCAGCCCAACGAATCCCATTCGTGGACCCAAATGACTTCCGATCTCTTGGCCGGAACAAGTCACTCGCTCTAGAGCAGCCGTTTCTCTACGCTGCCTTTTCTACTGGACGAAGATGAATGAATCTGGTCGGCAGTATGCCCGTCGTGGCGTTGGTGACACTGTGACGCAGGCAGCGATGCGGCCCTAGCAGGATGCTGTGTCCATCTCCCAATTGGACCGCATCTATTGTACTGTTAGGACAGTCATCGTGAGGGGCTGCAATTGCACAGCATGTTCAAACACCCCCCTCATTTCCACATCTAAACTGACAGGTTTAAAACAAACATAGCCCTTCCCGTGCTCCAGTGGCCTTCAGAATCCACTTCCTTCGCATACCCACCCAGACAACCACACCATCACAATGCTCTACACCGAAGACAACAAACTCATTTTCCGGTTCGACGACCACCTCCTCTGGATCCAGCCATGGGGCGACAATGCGCTCCGAGTGAGAGCTACCAAGCTGGCCTCCATGCCCACCGAAGATTGGGCCTTATCCTCCAAGGTCCCGTCAATCGAACCTACCATCAGCATCGAAGAGCACAAAGACTCCAGCATCACCAACGGCAAGATCACAGCCAAAGTATCCCAACGCGGCAAGATCACCATCTACAACCACAAAGGTGACAAGCTGCTCGAAGAATACGCTCGCAATCGCCGCGATCTCAAGGATCCCAAATGCAGCGCACTGGAGGTCGAAGCCCGCGAACTGCGACCAATCCTCGGAGGCGACTTCCATCTGACCATGCGATTCGAGTCGCTGGACCCTAAAGAGAAGATCTACGGAATGGGGCAATACCAACAGCCCTTTCTCAATCTCAAGGGCGCGGATATAGAGCTAGCCCATCGGAACTCTCAAGCCAGTGTCCCCTTCGCGCTCTCCTCCCTTGGCTACGGATTCCTGTGGAACAACCCGGCTATCGGACGAGCTGTGCTAGGGACGAATACCATGAGCTTTGAAGCCTACTCTACCAAGGTGCTCGACTACTGGGTCGTCGCAGGAGACAGCCCAGCTGAGATCGAGGAAGCCTACAGCAAAGTCACTGGCTATGTGCCGATGATGCCCGAATACGGCCTCGGGTTCTGGCAATGCAAGCTGCGATACTGGAACCAGGAGCAGCTTCTTGACGTCGCCCGAGAATACAGGCGACGAAACATACCATTAGACCTTATCGTCGTTGACTTCTTCCACTGGAAACATCAAGGAGAATGGAGCTTCGATCCCGAGTTCTGGCCTGATCCAGGTAAGTCCTTCACATACACCTAGATATATATATATCCCTGTCAACAACTAACACCCTCCCCCACCTGACAGACGCCATGATCAAAGAACTCCAATCCCTCAAAGTCGAATTAATGGTCTCTGTCTGGCCAACCGTCGAAAACGCCTCGAC